ATATGAAAAGATACTCAATGCACATTGTATGAGAAATTAGTTTCAATTTAATCTAATCCTCGTGCAATGTCTGCAATAATCAAAACTATCCTCCACCGATAGCCCAAAACAGATATTTCTATACAACAGTTAGTCTCCAATCAAAAGACATAATTTCATTTTTTTTCAATGGGAGTGATATCACATATCCAACTCCACCATTATCATCAACATAATCATTGTTCCAATCTTATAAAACCCAACATCATTTTCATTTCCTTCCACAAATCCAAATATCCAAAATTTAGAACAAAACCCCTTTTTTCTTCCAAAATCAATTTTAAGAAAAGAAATCCATCATTTTAACATATCTCACCCATAAACACATTCTCACAACCATTCTTAATAATCCATTTAAAAAAAATCCCTCTTTTGATTTCAAACTCAAACTCTAAGTTTTTCCAAAAATCCTTAAACCATTAAACCTTTCAAAGAGCAAATAATTAAGCTAAAAATCATATTAAAGGTCAAAGAAATCCCTACCTCAAAGTAGAAGACAAAAAGGAAACAAGGGGCAGAACTTGACGGAGCCAAAACTACTAACTTCTCTGATTAGAATGAAGCTCTCGACGTGCTCAATCTTTTACTCCAAAGGACTAGGGTGAAGAAATCAAAGGATTGAGAGTATTTAGAGCTAGAAAGTAAGAACTTAGAGAGAGAGTGTGTGGATTTAGAATTTTGAAATGTTTAGAGTGAGAATGAGATGAGAAGGTGGCTCAAAATGGCCTTTTCTCGGGCTGATATGCACAAATTGCTCGAGCGACCAAAATATCGCTCAAATGAATAGACGCAATAAGTACATGGGTTCTCGAATCCAAAAACAAGAAAGTGGGTCAGGTCTAAACTGGATTGTTATACCAGAATCCACCAAAGAACAACTATCTCTGTTGCGAATAAAAGAAAACAAACAAATCCCTTGATGATGTTGATATAAAGTTCATGGATCCATTAATTACTCTTAAATCATCAAGGAAATACTCATAAAGCACCCTCCAATATAAAACACTTTGTTTTTTCTTCATCTCTGAAAATTTGGACGGCTCAAACCCTAAAACGAGCAAACAACGCACTTTTATAGTAAATTGGATCGCGAAGACTACTTGAGTAATGTGAGTAAAGGCGGTGCAAAACATATGGGCTGACCGCTTAAGTGCAACTTGCACTGCTCGAGCGATAAAACTTGTTTCCCAAAAGTTCGGGCATTTTGTAAAAATACTAGATGATTCTTTTCTCCACTTGAGTCCACAAATGACTGCTTGAGTGGTCAAACAGCTTTGACTATGTTTTTTCTTTTTGTTTCGGAGGCATTACCCCTCGACTCCGTCTCGGCGCTGCCTCGGACCCCATAAACGGTCAGTAAAGTGAAAAACACAAAAGGATCGAAATCACAAACTTCTTTGCCTAAGCACAATTTGAGTTGGATTCACACATAAGCACTCATAGTCTCACTAAAACAAAAGAGCAAATAAAATTATAGCTGAAAGGAGTTTTGTCAAACGGGATAGCCAATTACAAAACCTAACAAGAATGATTCCCAAACTTGCAAAATGTACCACTAAAGAAGGTGTGTTATTGTGAGAAGATGTATAGATGAGAGAGACGGATTGAACTTGACCGGAATAAACTGAATAGGGAGAGACGTATGTGTGGGAGTTGTGGACTTCTATTTTTTTTTTTAATTAAATTTACGTGATAGACATCCGATTGAGTGAATTGTGGATGATAAATATGCATGAGTAAATTGTGAGAATGAGAGTAAATTGTATGAATAAGACTTTTTTTTTTTTTTTTTTAATAATAACATGATAGACATTGGATATTTGTAATATTATATGTGTTTTTAATTTATTTAAGTTATAGATATTTGTGAATTTGTATTCTTTATTAATTTATTTAATTCATTAGGTTAGTGTGAGACGTTTTTTGGTTAATTTATTTCAGTTATGAATATTTTTAATTTATTTAAGTTATAAATACTTGTGAGTTTGTATTTTATTATTAATTAATTTAATTGAGAGTGGGAGATGTAATATGTGATATTTGTGGGTTTGTTGAGTGAATTGTAGGGATGAGAGTTGTGAAAGTTATCAATTTTTTATTTTTTATTTTTTTTAAAAACAATGTGATAGACATTGGATATTTGTAATATATATATATATATATATTTTTTAATCAGGAAAAAAAGGGGCTCTGAGGTGTCATCACGGCCCTTGTGGGCCTTGACCCCGAGGTAACTGATTGCCAGTCAGGAATTAACTCCCACCAAGTGAGGGACCCACCACCAGAGCACTAATGGAGCTCACGCTATACGCCACAGACTGCTGAGGGTTCGAACTGGAGTACAGAGAGGGGGTTCTCAAAGAGAACACTTCCACCTCCCCCTAGGATTCGACCCTAGGTCAAGCCTATGGAGATGAGGTGCTTTCTCCACCAGACCACCACTCTTGGTGATTATATATATATATATATATTTAAGCTATGGGTATTTGTGGGTTTGTATTTTTTTTTATTAATTTATTTCATTGAGAGTGGAAGGCATGATATGTGATATTTATGAGTTTGTTGAATGAATTGTGGAATGAGAGTTGTGTGAGTTACGGTTTATTTTATTTTATTTAAATAACGTTATAGATATTGGATATTTGTAATACATATACATTAATTTATTTAAGTTACAGATATTTGTGGGTTTATGTATATTTTTTATTAATTTATTAATTTATTTAATGGTAAAACACTAATAAATCATAAAATATAATCTTGTGAACGGTTTAATCATTTATTTTTTTTTATGAACTAAAAAGTCCTATTAAAGTGGAAATTTCACAAAAAAATAGTCACTCACACGTTTGGGTTTAACTTTTTAGGGATAAAAGTGAGTTTTTTTAAATGTGAAATTACACATTTGGACAAGAGTAATGCTACGGACCCCAAAAGTTCTACTAAAATTTCTACCAAGTGTCTCACATGGATGGACCCACACTATGTGGGTCACATGTGGGTCCCACACCCATATAAGATATTTGATAGAAATTTTGGTACAATTTTTGAGATATCTAGCATTTTTGTTTGGGCAATCCACGCTATAGAGTTTTGGATTTTTCTTCCTGAAACAAATCTCACATTACGAATAAGAATGTAACACTCCAATAACGTAATATTCCAATATAACACACTAAAAAAAATTTAGTGTACTTTTTTTAAACGTAACAATATAACACTCAAAACTTTTTTCAAACGTAACACTCTAACGTAACACACAAAAAAACCTCCTTAGTGTAATTTTTTCAAACGTAATACTCCAATCAATATAATTCCAAACGTAACACTCCAATGTAACACACACAAAAAAAAAAAAAAAAAAAAAAATTCGTAGTATACTTTTCCTAAACATAACACTCCAATCAATATAATCCCAAATGTAACACTCCAATATAACACAAAAAAAATAATAATAATAAATAAATCTTTAGTTTACTTTTTCAAAACGTAACACTCCAATTAATGTAATGCCAAACGTAACACTCCAATGTAACACATAAAAATACTAAACAACTTCTTAGTGTACTTTTTACAAGTGTAACACTCACAGTTTGAAATTATATATTTGTCCAAAACTTACTACATAATTTTTGTACTCCTTTTCGAATAGTTTGAAGAATCCACATTCTTTATTTGGAGTGTTATGATCGGAAAGAGTACACTAAGGAATTTTTTTTGATGTTATGTTAGAGTGTTACACTATGCAATTTTTTTTACAGTGTTACGTTTGGAAAAAGTATACTAATGAGTTTTTTTTTTCTTTTAAATCTTACATTGGAGTATTGCACTAAGGATTTTTTTTTTTTTAAGTGTTACATTTTAGTGTTACGTTTGGAAAAAGAAAAAAAATATATATATACTAATGAGTTTTTTTAAGTCTTACATTTGAATATTGTGTTTTAAAAAAATATACTAAGGAATTTTTCTTAGAGTGTTACATTTGAGTATTAAACTAATGGCCATTTTTTTAGAGTGTTTCATTTGAGTATTACGTTTGGAAAAAATATACTGATGAGCTTTTTTTGAGTCTTATTTTAGAGTATTACAGTTTAAATTATATGTTTGCTCAAAACTTACTACTGAGATTTTGTATTTCTTTTAAAATGCTTGAAGAACCTGGTATTTCAAATTATTTGTAGTACTTTTGAAATGTTTGAAAAACTTACATTTCAAATCATTCTAAATAAAAAATATTCACATATAAAAATTAATCCCAAATTTAATTCTTATAGATTGTGTATCTTATCTTTCTAACATAAGGGGGGGGGAATAATAAAGATATAGCCGCAAATCTAATTTTCAAATAATATATTAAATCTCCCTTTTCAAAATCAATGGGACTAACTGATCTATTAAAAAAACTCTTGGGAATAAATTAATCACCATTCCTAAAAATGAAATTTATAGGTAAATTTTCCTTTATTTAATTGAGAGTGTGATTTATTTAATGAGAAAATATATGATAAATCTAATTTAGAGAGAGTTAAAATATTAGATGTAGTGGATATTTTTTTATTGGCCAAAGATCCACCATTTGTAAAGGAATTTGATGAAAAGTCTTTTTATTGGTTTTAGATAATATTTTATTTCTAATTTTACGCCTTACTTTATTTATTGATTTTTTTTATCTGTTGACTTTACATTGACTATCTTTTCAATTTTTTTTCTATCTGTTCAATTTTTGTTACTATCCATTCACTTTTTCTCCCTATCTGTTCAAATATCTGTAAAAAATTCATTACCTGTTCAATTTTTTTTTATCAGTTGAATTAACAAACCAAATTATCAATGTGTTGATATTATCTATCAAAATTATCAATCTGTTGAAATTATATATGTTGAAATTGCTACTTTTTTCCAATATGTTAAAATTTACAGAACATATTTCCCGTGCCTGTTGAATTATATCTCTCTCTATCACTTGAATTATATCTCTTTCTTCATTACCTGTACAAATAAAATTGAAATTAAACAACAAAAAATCAATCTGTTGAAAATCTATTTGTTCAACAGATCTGTCCAAAATTTATGATCTATTCAAAATTTTAGTATCTCTCCTCTTTTATCTGTTGCAATCTGTTTCTTGATCATCATCATCATCATCAACAACAACAACAACAACAACTAAAAAAGTAGAGATTTAGATCTCTCCGCAGATCTGTAACGAGAGACAGATAGAGTAAACAACAACAACAACAACAACAACAAAAATCCTAAATAATCTGGATTCTCAGAGCCCAAACTCTCTACAAGCCGCTAATCTGTCAAAAAATCAAGAAATTAAAGCAGAATCAAAGACACACACACACACACACACATATATACACAAATTGATATAAATATATGAGGAGATTAAGATGGATTTACTGAGTAAGGAGGTGTAATTGGATGTCTGGTTTTCTACATTCGATAACGATTTCAGAGAGAGAAAGAGAGCTTGTATGGGCCTACAGTGGTCAGATCTACTCGGATCTGGCGGATCCACCAGCGGATGAAGAGGAGAATATGGTGGTGTGGTGATGGTAGAACGAATCCACCAAAAGACCGTTCGATCTTGTTCTCCCTGGAGTAGATCTAGAGATCTCAATGTCATTGTTGTTTTTTGGCGGCGGAAGCGGAGGCGGAGGCGGAGGCGGATGAGGATGCGGCGGTGAAGGCCATCTTCAGATATACGATGCCATCGCCGCCGCCATCACCGTCGGTCTTGGCTAGGGGATTCCACTGAGATTGGTGGTGAGGGAGTAAGATGGGTGGTGAGGCAGCGAGAGAGAGGCGGTAGAGGAGAAGATCGGCTGCTGAACAAGGCGAACGAGGGAAATCGTCGGAGCCGGTGGTGGAGAGGCGGTGAGAGAGGGAGGCGAGAAGAGCAGTGGAGAGGGAGATAGAGAAAGAGACGTTGGAGTCTGGGAAGGAAGGGATATAAGCTTCTTTGGTCTGTGAACAATATTTATATATAGAGATAGTTTGGTCATTTTGTCCAAACTTCTCGTTTTGAACAAAGTATTCCAGTGCCTTAACTTTTAACCAAACAAAACTGAAATTGGACTTTTTGCGCAAGCGTCCATTTTTAATTTATTTACCTTATAGATATTATTGAATTTTACTTGATAGATATGTGATTGAATGAAATGTAGGTGATAAATATGAATTGTAAGATAAAACCTGTTTTTTTTTGCTTTTCTTTTCAAAAAAATAAAAATTAATAACGTGATAGATATTGAATACTTGTAATATATATATACTAGCGTATGCCCGTGCCTAAAGGCACGGTGTAAATAATATTAAGATTAAAATACAGTTATAAAAATATATTTAACAGACTATACTCTACAATTCCAAACAAATCAAATCTAACACTATAAAATGAAAATAAATCATGACTGGTGAAACTGAATGTGCATGCCCAAGCTTGATATTGAATTTTTATTACGTGTGATTGGGATGAATATGTTTTCCATGTTTTTCTAGGCAGCCTACAGGAACCTAAAAATTCAATGTCAAACTTGGACATGAAATGTCCTCCAGGTCTTTCTAGGCATTATATATTGTAATGAAAAACATTAACAGTAAGAATATGTGAATCGTAAGTGTATATTATTGTAAATATTGCTTTTACTGTAAAGATATTGTTAAGACCTTCCTAGTGCACCCAAGCAATGAGCTGAGAATTGCCATCCAATTACGATACTTGTTCTAAAGTTTATCAAATTTCTTCATTAAAAAATAGTTTATATATTTTTTATTAATTTATTTAAATTATATGATCGACATCTGATTGAGCGAATTCTAGGTGAACTACTTTTGATCTGAAAAATGTAAGATTTATAAAAGTCGAAGAAGATATCAATCCTAATATGAAAGTGGTGTCTTTCTTTTTTACTTCTCAAGAACTCCTATTTTCCAAGAAAATAAAATTTTCTTTGAGATCTAACTATTCTTATTTTTATTATTTTGAATTTGAAGAAATCTTTTTTGACGTTAAAAAATAAAATAAAATAAATTAAATTCAAGATTTGATGTATTGTTCAAGGTACATATTCAAATGAATATATGAAACTAATCGAATTATATGAAAAATAAAATAAATTAAATTAAATCCTTTTTGATATATGAAAAGAAACTAATCGAATATGATTAAATCGAAAAAGGGTAAATTATAAATACATTTTTGAGATTTATTTAAATTATAAATTGTTCTTTGTGATTCTCGAAATTACATTATGTCTCTTAAGATTTCTAATTTTATAATAAATAGATCATTTTATTAATAAATCATCAAATTAATTAACAGTTTATAATAATGTTAAAATTTTATTTCAATTAATAATTCAGATAATTTTATTATTGTATAGGTGAACAGTTAGAAATTTAACTTTTTCAATTAATTTTGTTAAAGAAAAAATTCTAACAGAGAGGTATTTGTAATTTTTCAAACCACAGGAGATAATTTATATTTTAAACAAATCTTAGGGGGTGTATTTGTAATTTATCCATCGAAAAACAAACGCAAGCTTCAAATTAAAAAGTAAGCAAGTTCAAACTATGCAAAATGTAATAACGGAGAAGATGAAATTATCTGTAGATGAGCTAAAAATTATTGGGAAAAAGAACATATACACACAAAAGTAATAATACACTTAAAAAATGCATATAAAGTAAGAAATAATATTAGGAGCATAAAAATAGAGAAGATGAAAATATATGTAGATGAATTGAAAAATATAGGGAAATATATATATATATATATACACACACGCAAGTAACAAACATTGAGAAAATGCATATAAAGTAAGAAATAATATTACACTGACCTTGTAATGATTTTCATATATCATCAAACTTACAAGATGTAACAATAGAGAAGATGAATTATTATGTGCATAAAAATGGAGAAGATGAAAAAATGTGTAGAAGAACTGAAAAATATTAGAGAATATATATGTAAACACACACAAAGTAGCAAATACTGAAAAAAGTACATATATAATAAGACATAATATTACATTAACCTTGTAATGATTTGCAAAATATAACAATAGAGAAGATGAGTTACTCTAAGAAAATGAATAGAGAAACGTGTCTATAGGAGTTATAGGAGTTGTGGGTTACTATTTATTTTTATTTTTTTAATAACGTGATATTAAATTGACAGTGTGATAGATATTATTGTGAGTGATAGATGTAGATGAATATAAGTGAAATAGATATTATTGTGGGTGATGGATATGAATGAATATTTTATTATTTTACTTTATATTTTATATAGAGAGAGAGAGTGAGAAGGCCTAAATAATGGTGTAACGCCTCAAAATAATACAACAGCCCACTCATAATATTCGATGGAAAAATATAAATTTACATAATATTAACCTTTTATTGATTTGATTACAGCATATTAAAAGATGACATACGCATGTATGCATTCATAAATCCTAGATCTTGAATCTATAACATATGACAAGTGTAAATGGATTAAAATAAAAGGAAGGCTATATCTTTCCAAGTCATTGCTTGGGTACAACAAAAGTGAGTTAAATTCAATATATAAAAAGCCCAAAGTTTGCACAAAATAATTACTCGAAAAGAAACAAAAGAAGCTCTCGTCTCTAAGTCCTCCCAAGTTATATCCTTGGTGGAGGCATATCATCAACGCTTGAAAGTTGTTTTCCATGTAGAATGAGTTAAAGCCCAATAGAGATACTTAAACATAAATGTATGACGCTTAATAAGGCCATAAGTTGAATGTATATGCATGTCATTTGCCAAACATTATAATAACTCTTTCAAAATAATGTAATGCCAATATTATATATATATATATCAATTCATGAAGACAGTACTTTTATAGTAGAAAACAAGACAATGGATATAAAACACTGGAAATCTCTAGCTAATGTCTGCCAATAGGCTATACAAGCACTACCAAAGTCATTTTACCGGTACTAACTGGAAGGATCGACACATAACCGTGCAAATTTCTAGACTTTCACTAAGGACATACATGTCAATATAATAAACCACAACTACACTTCCTAACTAGATTCACCAAGGTATACATCTATTTTTCTCAAAATAATACATTTTCAATGTTTACTTATGAAACAATGCTCAATGTAAGATGTATGAGTAATTAGTTTCAATTAACATAATCTTTATGCAATTTCTACAACAATCAAAGTTATCCTCCACCGATAGCTCAAAACATATATCTCTACTCAACAGATAATTTTCCAACAATAGATATATTCTCATAAATTACAAAATGGGAGCGATAATGTATATATTCAACTCCGCTCTCATCATCAACAGATACATTCATCTTATCTTTTCAAACCCAACATCTTTTTTTTTTCTTTTATAAATCAAAGATCAATGATTTTCTAATAAAACATCATTTACTTTCAAAAACGCATTTAAGAAAGGAATTTTCAACATTTCAACACAACCCAACAATATTCACACTCCCACAGTCTTTCTCAAGAATCCATTTAAAAAAATCCATCTTTTATATTTCAAAATCAAACTTTAGATTTAAACCCAAAATCCCCAAATCATACTACCTTTTTAAAGAACAAATAACCAAGCTAAGAATCATACCAAAGGTTGAAGAAATCCCTACCTCAAGAGTAGAAGAAGAAAAGAGCAAGAGTAGAAGTTTGACAGAGCCAAAAACAAAATCTTCTCCAATTAAAACAAAGCTTTCAACGAGCTCTACATTTTTCTCTAAGGGAATATGATGGAAAAATCAATGGATTTGGGTAAATTTGAGATATCTAGGCAAGAACTAGAGAGAGAGAGAGTGAATAAATTAGGTTTAAAAGTATTTTAGAGAGAATGAGAGAGATGAAAAAGTGACTGGAAAAGGCTTCTCCCTGATCTGATTAACGCACAAGACTGCTTGAACGACCAAACTATCGCTCGAGAGTCAAACACAATAAGTGACACCGCTCGAGCGACCAAAACACCATTTGAGAACACAATGACCCCCTCTCAGAAGTTCAGACCTGCAAAAAACCGTTAGAGCTAAGATCACCCTACTTCTACAAGTTCAGACCTACAAAATTACTAGGAGATCTCAAAGACCGCTTGAGCGACCAAATCACCACACGAGCAAACAAGAAATGAAATGGACAGCAACTATTTTGAAAAACTAACTCCTAACCTGTTTTAAACACAACCAACTCTAAACAACCAAACTCAACTAACAACAAGATGATAAAGGTATAAACAATAATTAAAGGTACGAAAATTTTGGATCTAAGAGCATAAAAAGGGTCTAAACAGGAATCGTTATAATCTCTCCCTTAAGAAATTTCGTCCCTGAAATTTAAATCAAACCTCAAACACATATTATTCCAATTGCAATATTAACTCATATTAGAAACAGTGGTGTAACATAGCCATTTAACCCATAAACATTACAATTTTAAATTTCCAAACATCGTAACATTCATATATTGCAAAGCAATGAAATTTAAATACAAAATACTTCTCACGAACTTCTACCTCGTGCTCCTAATTTGCCTCCTCAACTCTATAATGCTGCCATAACACCTTAACCAATGGAATAGTCTTGCCGCTCAAGACTTGATCCCGAGTATCTAACACCCGAACTAGTTTTTATTCATACGAGGCATCCTCATCTACCTCTAACTCGGTCCAGTTCAATAAGTGTGAAGGATTAGGCTCGTACTTTCAGAGTATACAAATATGAAACACGCCATGAACCCCGAAAAGTTGGGGCAACAAGGCCAAACGATAAACTACCTTCCCAATTCGCTCTAGAATCTCAAAAGGCCCAATAAATCTAGGAGATAACTTCCCGCTCTTTCTGAATCTCATCAAACCCTATCTTGGTGATATTTTAAGAAACACATGATCTCCCGTCTCAAAAGACAAGGGCCTCCTCCTACAGTCGGTATAGCTCTTCTGACAA